TTCTAAACTGTGGTTTCATCTTTAGTGGTCTTGTGAGAACATACTTGGTCTCTTGGTGCTGTCATTTTTTTCCTTTCCAGCTCCTGGACAGCCCAGCAATGGACACTTCCCTGATGCTTCTTTCTAAGCACTGGCTGCAGTTACCACAAAGACTTTCTTGTATCACTAATAGCTGCCCACAAGTCAATCTCTCTGTTAAAATGTGGTCTGCAGTATTAGACCAGGAATTGTTAATAATGCCCAAAGAGGCTTTTGCCTAAAGGCAGAACTGCCTCCATCTGGTTTCTGGATTTGAAATCCTGATGTAGATGCTGAAATAGCTTTGCAAGCATTGAAGTTTTACTGGCAATCCCTGGGCATGGAGATTCTTGCCTACCTTCCTTTTGTCTATTACTGGGAGTGATTTCTATCATAGACTGTTCTGCCCTGTCTTGCGATACTTATAATACTATTTTAAGGAGGTTACCTCTAGGCATCTATTAATAGAAAGGTTTGTTCTTGAAAACCAAAAGAGTGTATTAGTAGGTAACAACTGCTTACATATTATCAAACTTTGATACTGGTTCGGATGCTTGGAATTGACGTAGTTGCTTTTTTTTTAATAATCTTTGACCAGAACTTTGAAGCAGGTCAATACAGAGTTCCTATTACTTTCATTTTACCTTGACTAATTTTGATCTATTATATTCCTCCATAAGTATACTCCTAAACTTTAGCTGAAACTGAGGTTTCTGGTCCCCTCATACTGTCCTCAGCAGCAGAAGTGAATTGCTCTATCCTGTGATATGGGGAACTACTGAAAGAAAACTCTGATATTTCAGAATAAAGCTTTGCAATTGAGACCCAGTATGAGGCTTAGGAGATCCACGTTCTTGCCTGGTCCTCTCTACACTATCTTTGGGGTTTTAGGTAGGTCACAGAACCTCTCTGTACCTCCGTTCCTATTTATTAAATGGGAATATTGCTCGACTGACTGTCTTAAGAGAGATGTGAGACACTCCATTGGAAAGCATTAACATCACAGGTTTGCAAGAGAGGTAAGATTGTTGTGCTGAGCCTGGTAGTAAGCACAGGAAAGACTGGCAGCAAGGTCCTAGAAAAGCAGGGAGGATCAGAAACCAGAATTCATGCTGAAGTGAGGGTGGCAGGAAGGAATTCCCTCCATCCATGTGTTTGCTCTTAGATCACAGTGGATGGCACTTCAGTCCTGCTTCACCCATTCATTACAGAAAATGGGACAAAGCTGAGTGCTCTTCCTCAACTTCCATGGCTTCCTTTGTGGAGATACACCTGATAAACCATCAGAAGTTAATGATCAAAAAGCTTATCAGGGTCTTTTCATCTATAAATTTATAAGACAAAAGAGAAATAATAAAGCCATTGGATAATTAGTAACTAGCCAGGGCCCGCCCGGTGCCACTGGGCTCAAACTACCCCAAGACCTGTACGCAGACTCAGGGAGATGAGAAGGAGACAAGGATGAGGGGAAGAAAAAGAGTGGAAGAGAGAGAGAGAATTAGCCAAGAAGACAACAAAATGGGAGGAATAGCAGCAGAGACAAAAGTGAGGAGAGGAGGGAACGTGGAAAGAATGGGAAAGAGGTAAAGGGAACAGAGGAGACGAAAAGATGTGACAGAACTGGAAGTGGGGAAGAAATGACATACTGGGCCAGAAAGAAGACAGAATTACTGGGAATGTTTTCCCACCCAGGTAAGAGCTGATCAGTGAATTTTCCTCTTGTGGGTACTGCAGAGTCATCAACTCCCAATCTGCCAGGAGTTTTCTTCTCCTAAATATTTACAGTAAATGCTAACTTTCCTCATGCTGTTTTTCTAGCTTTGACCTTTTGTAGTGGGATTTGATGTTTGCTTCTTGTTGCTACATTTTATGTTAATTTCCTTTGCACATGAAAGGGAGCAATCAAAAAGCCTGAGAAATTCTCTAGGTGGATTGCAGTCTTAGTGAAGATTTTAAGTGCAGGATGTTGCTGCGTCTTTTTGTACTCTATCAGCTTGTCATTGCAAAATACCCCCAAAACAGATGGGCAAGATTCTGCTTCGGTTGTGAGGGAGAAGCTGGATGGAACCAATCCTTGCTTGGATAAACCTCTTAAGTTGCCCATGGGAATTATATCCCAGCAAGAATCCCAAATGGGAATCCTGGTGAATGTTTCTCTGAGTCTCTAATGAGGCTTATTGGTTTGGGGAACTCTTCCTGACTTTTGATTTCAAAAGCACTTTTATGCAAAGGTGAATTTGTGCAGCCATAAAAACCTGTAGTTGTTGCTGCACACATACTTTGTAGTTGTGCCACGCGGTGGATGGTAGAATAGAGTGTTCTGCCCAGGTTTTAACCTCTGCATGTGTTTGGAGCGTGCTCTTTCTACAAGAAGAATCCCCACTGAAGTTGGGAGAACTTTGCACTCACAAGAACGACAAGAACAAGTTTTCTTGGTCTGATTTGACCAGTATTCTATAGCAAAACCCAGTAAAATTAACAATATTAATCTCCTTAAATATAGAAGGGAAACATTACATCTTCACTTTACCATACATCCTCAGGCAACTATAGCATCAGTTACGAGTGAGCAGATTATTTTTCTTTTTTTTTTTTTTTCCTCCCCTGATGTCTGAAATTGTGAATCCTATTAAAAATTTAAATCCAACGTTCAGTCAGTGAGATGCAAGTTATATAGGCCTCAGACTGTTCTAAAGCCTGATGATATAACCACCTCAAATATGTATTCGGGCTCCATGGCTCCCTTCATGCATTTTCTGTGAGATGAAAGGAAAGTCTGAGCATTTATAAAGAATTTAAGGAGTGTTTTGGGGTTGCTAGTCCTGGCATGGATGAAGACTGTCTCTGTGCAGCTGGATCGACTGTGGATACCAGAGACACTGAGCGGGAAGGGGAAAGAAAAAGAGATTTAGAGGGAAGAGTGCAAGAAAGCAGCAAAGAGGAGCAGCAAATCTGTCCTTACTGTAATAGTCTTTCCACCACAGCCTTCTGGTGAGCAGCCTCCTCAGGGCTCAAGTTTTCCAGCTCCTTCATTATTGGAGGGGTAAATTCCTCCCCGTCATCGGAGGTTTCATCTTCCGATAACCTGGACTCCCCCATTCCGTTGGGGAGGTTGGTGATGTCGGGACAGGGTTCTCCTTTCTCTGTCTGGAGGGCATTGATAGCACGCTGACTTTCACTCTGGAGCACGTAGGGTTCCACCTCGCTCAGCGCCTTGATGAGGGTCTCCTTGGTTAGCCCCGATTCCAGCAGCGCTCCCAGCAGCTCCACTTGAAGATGACTCAGCTTCGAGACCATGGTCTTCAGGCTGGTGTCTCTTGGATTTGGAATTCGGGTTATCCTGCTTCCAGCTTCCCTACACCATGTTCCCGAGGTAACGCGCCCGACTGTCAGGAGAGTGGGCACAGCGCAGCCTCCCGCCTTTACGCCCCCCCCAAAAAAAACCCAAAATACAAAATTGAGCCACTTCAGACCCCCCACGACTGTCCTGAGCCAGTGCTGATAAAGGGACCCTTGGCTATCTGTTTACATTGGAGCAATGTAAATTCTCCAAGGTTCATATTTATCTGTGTGCTTAGCAAGTTACTGAACTTTGGACTTCAGCACTGCCGCAGCAGTTCACAAAGTGCAGAGGGAGAGAAAGCAGGGGGAGGGGGAAAGGGAGGGAAGCAGAGGAGAGAAGGAGGGTAAAATGAAGGGATGGAAGGTCTGCAGCGTGGAAAAGCAAGCTGTGGAAAGGAAAGCTAGGAAAATGAGGATGGAGAAATGCGGCCCCATTAGTTTTAGAGGAGGAAGGAGGTGGGATACCCAAAAGGAAGAGGTGTGTTTGGCTCTGTGTGGTTCAGGAGAAGGTGCTGCTGTTGGAAGGTGGCAGAGCCCGCTCAGAGCTCTGGGCAGTGGTGAGGTTCAGCCAGTCTCAGCCCCTGCCCAATGCTTTGGGCTAGAGAAAGCCATATTGGCAGCTTCACTAGCCTTTGTGCAATCCCCCAGCAGAGAAGTGGGGGCACTGGGTTTATATGGATGTTTGTGGGACTCACAGGATGTTCTGGAGCTCCCACTGACTCCTGTGGCAGAGCATCAAGTGTTAAATGACTTTTTCACTTCTGGCTCTGGCTTGCTGGGTATCTTGATATGCAAATACCAGTACCGCCATTATAACTTGCTATGCTTATTGCTTAATTGATGAGCAGGAGCAGTGTACCCACATAATTCGGGGGATTACAGGGCTTGCCCCACTCAGTTTGTGATTCAAGCACGTGATAAAGAATAGCCCTGGGTGTTGGTTCATGCTGAAAGTCCCTGCCCTGTCATCAATTGTCCTCCTTCTTCTCAGAAGTGCTCTGGGCAGGCGTGTGGTTACTATTTATCATCTACCCCCAGCCCCTGTTGATACCAGCCCTGAGGTTCTGCTCCCACCTGTTGGGTGACTTCCTAAAGCGTGGTTGCTAGCTCAGCTGGAGTCACTGAGGGCAGCTCTTAGGCAGTCCTTATCACGAAGATGTCTTTTCTGGTCTGAAAATGTATGAATGAATCTATCTGCTTTGAGTGGCTAAATCAGGGAATAACTTGACGTGCACATGTGGACTTGATGCACAAGCATCTCATGCAAATGATTCCTTGTGTGATTAACAAAAGGGTCTAAAACTATTGTCTCAAGGGAAGTTTCCTGGGGGCAGCTATTTGTCTCTCTTTCTACACTCCCATCAAGCCTAAGCCAAGAGGAGCCTGGTGGGACTGTCCCCAAACTGAGCAGTGTCCCCAGACAATGCTGCAGAGTGACCTTGGCCCCCGTTTTCCCTTTGTGGGCACCATTAGCCATGCTCTCCGGGCTCCTGCCCACAACGTGCTAAGTCAGCAGCTGAAGGACAGAGCTCCTTTGCAGACTGAACCCCCTCCTCCCTCCAGGCCCAGCGAGCTGCGGTCGGGCTGTGGGGCTGACTCGTCCAACCAGGACCCCTCTGAACTGTTCTCTTTTGTTTCAGGTGGCATCTGCACCCAGAGCACCAGGTCCCCTTGCTGCAGAGAGTTAAAAAAGCTCCGATGGGTACAGAAGACTCTCTTTGTGTGGCTAAAAAGAAGTGACAATTTGGAGTCTGTGTAAAAAATATTTAATGTAAGAAATTTTCATGTGAATATTAACATAAAAAGACCTCTTTAGTTTCTAAAGATTTTTTTTGTCATACTCTTAAGAAAGAGAATTTAAAGAACAAGAGCTTTTTTGGCATTGTCCTAATGATGTTTTGATACAGTTTCCATGCATTTTATTTTTTATTATTATTTTCCTAATTTCCACTTCTTCCGCCCCCAACAGACATACTACCCAATAACGGTAATTCGATAATCGTTAACTGTAATTACAATATCCAACCACAACATTTAGTTTTTGCATGATACATCCTTATAATTCAAGGATTTTTGCAAACAGAGACAAGAGATTGTGGGCCTCCTGCAATATGTGACACAGCAGATTCTGTCATACTCTGCTACTTCTGCCTGTGTTTGGCGTGGTGATTTCTTTTATCTAAAGTAAGATGGAAAATATTACCACTGTTCTTGTCTAAAAGATTGCCCAATCTATGTTCTGTGAGTGCATATATACCTGCTGTACGCTTGAGGGGGGATGAGGACACAGACCATTAAGTTTCGACAAAGTGCAGCAATATTTGTCAAGGGAAACTGTGAAGAGAAGAAAACATAGCAACAAATTATCTGTCTATATTGTGTGGCTTCAATGATTCCTTATGCACCCAGAAGTCCTGTTGCTTCTGCTTGCCTTGAAGACCTTCAGCTGCAGAGGCTTGTAAAACAGGCTGTCTTGAAACCAGTGAACTTTGAAGTCTATAAAAACAGAAATAAACATCTGTTTGTACGTTAGGACCTCACTGAACGCTACAACTGGATGCCATGTGGAGAATCCTTAGCTGAATATGGAAACCCTTCAAATACTGAAGAGGAGGTAAATATTCTCTATCACTTTATCCTGAAGGGTTTTTTCCCTTGGTCTATTAGAATTGTCCATTTTAAACTGTTGGAGGCTGGACACTTAACAAAATGAGAAATAGACTTCTACACTGTCAACTTTACCTTCAGTGTAACCTGCCAGACTGTGCTAGTGAATGGTTCAGCACTCCATTAAGCATTTCAGGTTCTTCAATGTGGGAAAACCAGTGAGCTTTTCAGTGTTTCTTAAATGTTATAAATTGCTAGCAGTCAGACTGAATGGTTGGGAAGCAGGAAGGAGGCTCCCGCTGCGAATTAAACCAGTAACCCTTTTATATACCCTGGCACTAAGGATTGCAATGTTCTATTTCTCAGATTATTTCAAGTGCCACAAGATGCAGTTGTGAGATAAAAAGAATAGCAGAGGCCGAGGGTGGAAACTGCAAAGGTTTAACCAGGTAAATTATAATTCTAGCAGTAGAAAATTGTAGAGTGCCATAATCCAGATAGCATTCTCCTGTAACTGAATTGTACCTGGGGATTTTGCCTTGAGGATTAATATTTGAAAGAAAAGGACTTTGCTATACCTGTTTTCATCCATTAACAGTGCTTAGTATATGTTGATTTCCTTAATTGCAACAATCTGCCAGGCCATCACTTGATTTGCAAGTCACCCTGACTAACCTGAACTTGCTGATTGTGACAGGGGAAATTTTTGCAGTTTGAAGACACCGAGTGATATCTGCTTGGTTTTCTTAGGTTTGCAGTATTGGGTTTTGTATCTTTTTCCTGCAGAGTTGCAGGTGTAATTAACATGGTGGTTGAGACCCCTTAAATTCAATGCTTCACTGACAAGACATAAGCAGCTTTACAACACTGAACTGGTCAGCTTAAGAGCAGGCTTATGAACAATGTTCCATTAACAAATCAGTTTGGAGAGATATATCAATTAGTAGCCACAAGAAATCTGATTTCTATTTTATTTTAATGGAAAATTTAATAAAGATTATTTAAATACATTCAACTACTTTGCATTGTCCTATATACACTTAAATGCAACTTCTGAGGGGTGATTCTACCCCTCTGCTCCGCTCTGGTGAGACCCCTCCTGGAGTTCTGCATCCAGCTCTGGAGCTCCCAACATCAGAAGGACATGGATTTGTTGGAGTGGGTCTGGAGGAGGCCACGAAGATGATCAGAGGGCTGGAGCTCCCAAAGCCTGACTTCTTGTATCAACACCGTTTTTACCTTGGATGTTTTCATTTGCTGAATTACGTTATTAAGTGTACATGATGAAAAATACAGTAATTTGCTGGGATAAAGCCAGTCTAATGTGGCTTCAAGGAGCACACAGAGAAGGAAAACCCTTGAAACATATTTCTGATAAAATGCTACCAGAGGGAGCCTGTTCCATGAATGCAGTGGTAAAATTTCAATTGGCAAAAGAAACACATAGAAATGGTTCTTTTAATAATTCTTCACCATTTTACTGTTCTTTCTGCTGAGACTGCTAAATGCTCTTTTGGCCTGAATGACATTAACGTCACTCCCTCCTTGAAAAGAGAACTGTTATTATCACGTTCACCCTTATTCTGTGGTTGAGGAAAAGAAAGCAACGCAAGTACCAAACCCGATTATTATTTGTGCATTGGGAGCTTAGAATCAAATGGAACACAGGAGTGTGAAAAATCTGAGATAATTGTCATTTATATGTTGTTTTCATTGAGTTTTCATTTCAGTTATTTATGGAAACCCTGAGCATCTCAGTGGGAAAGGACTCACTTGAATACGTAGTTTTAACATTTCAAATATTTACCTAGTTATGTTTTAATTTAGTAGTCTGCTGTAAATATGTGATTATAATAAAAAATGTGATTTTACAGAGAAGGAAGCTGGGGGTTTTTTGTTAATGCCTCCTTCCCTACTTTCAGTAGCACAATCAGAAGAACAACCTAAACTTTCAGAGCCAGGAAGGGGGAAAAAAGGCTACCTTTTGACTGAGACACTGGAGTAACTTCCCGAGTTTCTTCTTGCTGCTGTTTTCAGGGCTCAGTTTTACTCTTAATCTCCAAAGACCATGTTTGTTAAGCTTTGGGAGTTTCAGTGAAACTGAGGCAAAGGTGGAACAACCATTAAGAACTGGCCTGGACGCAGAGCCAGGAGGTGTCATAACGCCATGGGGCATATTGGGTTTAATTTATAGGTGCTCTCTCTGTATTCTTCTTCCTGTGTGGGGAAACAGGGCTGCGTCCCTCCCAGGCACCCAGCTCTTCCCCCTTCACTGACTCCCAGTTTCTACCATCAGGGTGAGGGTGAGAAGAGCAGGAGCCGCTCTGGAGTTCGGTTCATGAAGGAGTTTCCCACTAGGTGGTAGTGAAGAGAATCGTGTCGCACATACTGGTCAGTGCACATTCTGATTTTTTTTGTTTTATCGAGGGGAATCCCAGAAGGATCTTACAGGCAGAGCAGCCTAGCCTAGCTCTGAGCTACGCTGTGAAAGCTGCATCTCTTAATTATTTTCTTTCCCTTCTCTTTCTGCTCATTTCCATGCTATTTGTTCCTCCCAAACCAAGCAGGGTTGACAACAATACCTGTCATGTCCTTTCCTGAAAGGTGAAGTGTCTACATGAAGCTACTCTGGTTCTCTTTCCACCTCCACCAGAGCAGAATCAAGGCTGGTGAGCTAAATGTCATCTAATGACATTTAAGCAATTTGGAGGTGAGGACTCTTTGTAGCCGGTACTTTCATCTGATTTTTCTCCACCACGCTTGCCTCTGGGAGCCACCCTTCCAAACATGAAAAGAAAAAAAACAAACCACCTTATTTTTGTTTGCTGCTAGTTTTGAAATACCTTGACGGGTCGAAGTAATGCGTCACTCTACATCAAAGCTTCCAGACAGAACAGGTATTTTGGAAGGACTTTGTAATGTCAGAGTAAACTGTCACTGAAAATCAGAGTAAAGCTCTCTTGTAGGTCCAAAGAGACTGTACAAAAGATATGCTGAGAAAATTATCTGGGGAATGGAAGCCATGCTCCAATTTCCAGTAAAAGCAGGTGCTGGGTCTGCAAGGAGGAATAAATTCTTCCCATGAATTCATCCCACCGCTACCCTGTAGTGATAGAGCAAGCTTGTGAAATCATTTAGTAGTCTAGTCACAAAGCCTCAGATGCTGTAAAAAATTATACTTTAATTGCTCATCAACTATAAATCATTTGTGCCAAGCAGAAGGACATGGATTTGTTGGAGTGGGTCTGGAGGAGGCCACGAAGATGATCAGAGGGCTGGAGCTCCCAAAGCCTGACTTCTTGTATCAACACCGTTTTTACCTTGGATGTTTTCATTTGCTGAATTACGTTATTAAGTGTACATGATGAAAAATACAGTAATTTGCTGGGATAAAGCCAGTCTAATGTGGCTTCAAGGAGCACACAGAGAAGGAAAACCCTTGAAACATATTTCTGATAAAATGCTACCAGAGGGAGCCTGTTCCATGAATGCAGTGGTAAAATTTCAATTGGCAAAAGAAACACATAGAAATGGTTCTTTTAATAATTCTTCACCATTTTACTGTTCTTTCTGCTGAGACTGCTAAATGCTCTTTTGGCCTGAATGACATTAACGTCACTCCCTCCTTGAAAAGAGAACTGTTATTATCATGTTCACCCTTATTCTGTGGTTGAGGAAAAGAAAGCAACGCAAGTACCAAACCCGATTATTATTTGTGCATTGGGAGCTTAGAATCAAATGGAACACAGGAGTGTGAAAAATCTGAGATAATTGTCATTTATATGTTGTTTTCATTGAGTTGGTTTTCAGTTATTTGTGCAAACCCTGAGCATCTCAGTGGGAAAGGACTCACTTGAATACGTAGTTTTAACATTTCAAATATTTACCTAGTTATGTTTTAATTTAGTAGTCTGCTGTAAATATGTGATTATAATAAAAAATGTGATTTTACAGAGAAGGAAGCTGGGGGTTTTTTGTTAATGCCTCCTTCCCTACTTTCAGTAGCACAATCAGAAGAACAACCTAAACTTTCAGAGCCGGTTTTCAGTTATTTGTGCAAACCCTGAGCATCTCAGTGGGAAAGGACTCACTTGAATACGTAGTTTTAACATTTCAAATATTTACCTAGTTATGTTTTAATTTAGTAGTCTGCCATAAATATGTGATTATAATCAAAAATGTGATTTTACAGAGAAGGAAGCTGGGGTATTTTTGTTAATGCCTCCTTCCCTACTTCCAGTAGTATAATCAGAAGAACAACCTAAACTTTCAGAGCCAGGAAGGGGGAAAAAAGGCTACCTTTTGACTGAGACACTGGAGTAACTTCCCGAGTTTCTTCTTGCTGCTGTTTTCAGGGCTCAGTTTTACTCTTAATCTCCAAAGACCATGTTTGTTAAGCTTTGGGAGTTTCAGTGAAACTGAGGCAAAGGTGGAACAACCATTAAGAACCGGCCTGGACGCAGAGCCAGGAGGTGTCATAACGCCATGGGGCATATTGGGTTTAATTTATAGGTGCTCTCTCTGTATTCTTCTTCCTGTGTGGGGAAACAGGGCTGCGTCCCTCCCAGGCACCCAGCTCTTCCCCCTTCACTGACTCCCAGTTTCTACCATCAGGGTGAGGGTGAGAAGAGCAGGAGCCGCTCTGGAGTTCGGTTCATGAAGGAGTTTCCCACTAGGTGGTAGTGAAGAGAATCGTGTCGCACATACTGGTCAGTGCACATTCTGATTTTTTTTGTTTTATCGAGGGGAATCCCAGAAGGATCTTACAGGCAGAGCAGCCTAGCCTAGCTCTGAGCTACGCTGTGAAAGCTGCATCTCTTAATTATTTTCTTTCCCTTCTCTTTCTGCTCATTTCCATGCTATTTGTTCCTCCCAAACCAAGCAGGGTTGACAACAATACCTGTCATGTCCTTTCCTGAAAGGTGAAGTGTCTACATGAAGCTACTCTGGTTCTCTTTCCACCTCCACCAGAGCAGAATCAAGGCTGGTGAGCTAAATGTCATCTAATGACATTTAAGCAATTTGGAGGTGAGGACTCTTTGTAGCCGGTACTTTCATCTGATTTTTCTCCACCACGCTTGCCTCTGGGAGCCACCCTTCCAAACATGAAAAGAAAAAAAACAAACCACCTTATTTTTGTTTGCTGCTAGTTTTGAAATACCTTGACGGGTCGAAGTAATGCGTCACTCTACATCAAAGCTTCCAGACAGAACAGGTATTTTGGAAGGACTTTGTAATGTCAGAGTAAACTGTCACTGAAAATCAGAGTAAAGCTCTCTTGTAGGTCCAAAGAGACTGTACAAAAGATATGCTGAGAAAATTATCTGGGGAATGGAAGCCATGCTCCAATTTCCAGTAAAAGCAGGTGCTGGGTCTGCAAGGAGGAATAAATTCTTCCCATGAATTCATCCCACCGCTACCCTGTAGTGATAGAGCAAGCTTGTGAAATCATTTAGTAGTCTAGTCACAAAGCCTCAGATGCTGTAAAAAATTATACTTTAATTGCTCATCAACTATAAATCATTTGTGCCAAGTTAATGTGCTGGAAATTTTGCAAGACTGAGAAACTGGAAGCTATTCCAATAAGAACACAAGGCAGGGATATTGTTTCATAGATACCAGTATCAGTTTTACATCCTTTTCTCAGGGGAGGAAAAAAAAAAATTAAGAAGGGCTCTTTAGTGCCAAGACAAGGCTGAAGCACTGATTTATCTTTCCCTGCATTGATTCAAAAGGATGGAGAGGGTTTTTTTACCTCTTGGATTTCCTCTATCGTATTTGGAGAAAAGGGCAGCGTAAAAGGGCATCCCAGAGACAACGGGGCTGCACCACAGCAGAGCGAGGGTTCCAAATTGTCTGTTTTCTAATTGTTACTATAGATTTTTCTGCTGTGCTGAGGGAGAATAAAGGAAGGGACCTTCTCCATTGTGCAAGCCCTACCCAGGGCCTGAGCATTTTTTTCACAGGGGATGTGTACATGTGGGAACACCAGCATTTGCACCAGAACTGATGGACCAGGCTTGAGCCCACAGCTCAAGATTTTGAGCCTCTCTCCTTGCATTGCATCCACCAAAGCTTTCTCTACCTACCGAGGTGGGCACAAGCACTGTGTTTGGGGTGTCAGCTGGAGGGCAAGGGGGTATGTGGTCAAATAGGGAGAAAGTTTTTCAAGGTAGCACCATTGAACTGAAGGGTGGGAATCCCAGGCATTCCCTCCACCGAGACAGGTCAGTCTGGGCTGTGGACACAGCACCTTCCTTCTGCAGCTCCCCAAAACTTCAGGTGGCAGGAACAGGCTGCAGATTCCTCTGCACTGGAGAAGGAACTGAGCCGGCAGAGCCGAGCGAGCCACCCAAGATTACACAGACAACTGGTAACAAGCTGTTCCTTACTTTTAATCCCAAGTCAGGACTACACACCAGCCTAAATTCTTTTCCATTCAAGAGAATAAATGAGATGGACAAAATGGAGATTATTCATTCAACCTATTATGAGAAATAAACCAGAATGGGCTCCAAATGCCATTCTAGAGGCACCCGGCATCTCTCTAGAGGCACTGAGAACCTTCCATTAATTTGTTGCAGATTCAAGCAAAATTATATTAAGGTATAGAATTTCTCCTTTTTTTTTTTTTTTAAAATCCAAATACCTATTTTTACCAGACCCGGGCATTGTTTTTTTTTTTTTTTTTAAATCCAAATACCTATTTTTACCAGACCCGGGCATTGTTTTTCTATTTATATTTAATGTAGTTACATCACCTCCACCTGTAAGCGAGGCCCAGCTCTTCTCCCTCCCACACCAAGAGGGGCGATGCCTGGGACTGGGACCA